CGGGGCACGGGGGCGCCGGGCACGGCCGCGCCGCTGGCATTGCTGGTTTAGAGAACGAAGTTCGGTGACCGATGAGGCCGCTGACGCGTCTGAGAGCAGCCCAGAAGTAGTAACCTTCTGGCTCTGCTGACGAGACAAAACGGGGCTTGATGACTTCTTTGGTTTTTTAAATAGCAGACAGGATGGTCTTTTAATTGGCGCGTTGTTGTCAAGGAGGTGGTAAATAAGGGAATGACTCTCCATGTACAGTCTAGAGTACGATTTGGTAATGTCCAGCAAGACTAATGTGTGCGCTAAGGTGTGCTTATTCTGTTTGTGGGTCTTTGACACAATCCTTTTCAGGTAGATGGTCATAGTTTTCAAATACGGATTTCATTTCAGTGGTGTTTGGAGACGGCATAGTGATCAGCAAGTCATTGAAAAGTAACGGTGGCCACTGAGTTTCAGTTGTAGAAGAGAGAAGGTCCGAGGTGAATCTGTGCCGGAGCAGCCCTCGTGGCTGAGCGCTGAGCCCCGGCGGCTCGGCCGGTGGGTCCGCGCCAGGAGCCCGGCTCCTCACTCTGGGTCCGGACTGGCGAGACTGCTCTGCCAGGCTGAGGTTCTGGCTTGGACCTCCTCCCTCCACTCTGCTGCCAGCTTCTCTGGACCTGTAGCAGCTTCCCATCCCCGGAGCTGCCCTCTGCTCCCTCAGGTGTATTTGGGCAGCAGGCTCCTTCCTCCCCGACGGCAATGGCAAACAGAGCGGGGGCAGCTGCCGTACTGCGTAAGCCTTGCTCTTCTCCTAAACCAGGCCAAAATGCAATCAGCAACGGTCGTGGTCTGGATCAGACACGGCTGTGGCCAACCCACGTCTGAACACTGGCTTTTCTTGCCAGGGGCGACTAAGCTGTGTGTGTGTCTCATATTCTGGTTGTGTATGTGATGAAAAGCCATTTTGTTATCCGTAATCTTCTTAGGCGCTGAGATTTCAAACGGGATTGGGTATGAGAAAGGCCATGCACTTCCTTTCCAAAAATACTCAAAGCCTGAGTTCAAATATATATATATATATATATATGATTAGAAATATGTAAGAATAGTAAGGGAAAAAAAAGAGCCAAATTGTGTATTTCTTCTTGCAGCTGGAGCTGAAATAGCTGCTAAGGTTTCCTCTCCCCGGCTGAGAATTGGTACAGTTTGTTTTTCTTACATATTTTCCATGGTGTTGATAATGATGTACTTGTATATTGTGGCTGATGAGAGATAATCAGACAGGGGAAGAGCACAGGGTTCCTGTCCTTTGTTCCTCGTCAAGACAGAATGTATGAATTTATCACAAGAAAAAAGTGTGCAAATGAACTTTCTGCAACTTCTGACCTGTGTAGAACCACACTTTGTTTGAGATTTATAAAAACTCTAACTGGTACAAAACATTGTTGTTGATGTCTCTATATGAAGTAACAAGTCAAACGAGCTTTCTCTTTATGCAGATTTAAATGGGTGTCAGTAAAGGCACATCAGCACAGCTGAAAAAATCCATACTTCTGTGCAATATAACTGTGTTTGTCCAACAGATGTGTCAAAAAAGGCACAAAGCGGGCTCTTCCCTTTACCTCTCTCCCTTGGTCCTGGCCCTTTATCCCTCTCCCTTGGTCCTGGTCCCGAATCCCTGGGACACGTGGGAGAGGCAAAGGCTCCCACAGGCCGTTCAGCGTTGGCGCATGCAAATGCTGCAGCGTGAGGCAAGGGAGTGGTGGGATGCCTTTATGGTAGTTACCCCCCAGATACCTGCATACCTTTGGCTACCAGTGGTTTATTAGGGGGCGCTAATTGACCCAAATGCACGTTGTGGATCATACAGAAGGGCAAGGAGGTAAAAATGAGAATGCAGAAACACAACGCTAATATAGAGAGCAAAATAAATTGGAACTCATCTCACCGGTATCCAGATTCCCGGGGGCAAACTTTGCCTCACTTGAGTTTCCAAGTCATTGGCCTTACCATGCTCCTGCACCTCGGTATTGGTACGAGAAAAAGAAGGAGGAGGATGCTGCCAGAATCGCGGCGCGGGGCTTGCTTTGTCCCCCGCCCCAGGCACGGGCTGGAGGCCCAGCCG